AAGCTAAGCTAAAATTATCTAATTCAGTTAATGTTGCAGATTGCGTTGTTCCTTAATCTTCGAATTGGATCCGGCTTATTATTTTTTGCAGACTGTTAGAGCAATTTTATAAAGGTAAGCTTGAACTTTCGATTATGTCAAATAGAATTTCCGATATATATTTACTAATATGTAAAGGATCTACAAAGTGAAAGTATGTGTCGAAGTCCATTAAACAAAAAGTGGAATTGCTGCCAAAAAATGGATAAAGGCATATTCTTTATTCTTCTAACCATTCTGAAATCTGTTTATCAATTTCACGCTGCTCTTTGCGAGGGTATAGGGGGAAAGCATCGCGGCGCGCAATGAACTGGAAGTTGATCTGTCAGCACTATCCTTTGTATTGCAAGATAAAATACAGACTCGGCAGATGTTTTTATTTTATTCGGCTTATAATTCCTTACAAACTGTAATATTTCATCTTGATGTATTCCGTCTCTGATATGATTTATACCAAATTCCTCGTCATTATAAATATCATGAGTACACATCAAATAGTTTTTTGGTTGCAATTTTCTAATTTCGACTATGCGTAATGTATACTTTACGCATGCGCACCTTAAAAGAAATGTTTAATAAAGTAAACAAATAAATATTAAGCTTTTTTTTTTTTGTAAATTTTGATACCCTTTAGATCATAATTGTACTTTATTTCATAAATTACGGTTTCATATTTTTAATTTTGTAATTTCTGCATGCCATCTTACCAGATTTAAACTGATGATCTATAATCCGGAAAAATCGATAATCCGGAATCGCTGAAGTCCTGACGAGTCCGGATTAAAGACTTTTGACTGTATAAAAAAAATTGAAGACCCTTTATCGTGCAAGATTGGTTAATTACATCCTTGAAGCAATTGAAGAAAGTTTGCTGACCTTATCGTCAAAAGCCAGCGTAGTCAGTACAAAGGTCTTACAAGCAGTTACATTTGTGGTCGACAGCTGGCGAAAAGTAAGCAGTGAGACAATTCAGAACTGTTTTTCTCACTGTGGCTTTAAGCACTTTGTTTTGAAGATGGATGTGGACATGCTCATTGAAAGTGAAAATGATGATTTACATGTGGAACTTCAACAGGTACCAAATTGCGAAGAATTTTTATCCATTCCTTCAATGCTACAATGAAAATGAAGATTACGACGCTGCAATCGTTGCTTGAGTTGCAGCAAAACACAGGACAGCATCAGAAGACCAAGAAAGTGATGATGATGATGTCATTAATAAGTTGGTGCAAGTGACAACACGGGATGCGAGGAAATGCATTGAAACTATGTGTCGGTATTTCATGCAGGAGGGAAATAAAGGCAGTCCCATTGCTGCATTAGATGTTTGTGGCGATTTTGTTCGCATGCAATCCGTCAAGAGACCGCGTCAGATCACATTGGATAAGTTCTTCAAATGTTGACTGGAACTTGGTAAGAAATTGTTTTTATTGTGCTTCTCATGTTGAGTATCATGGAGATTGTTTCTTAGAGTTTGTTTCTAAATTAATTTTCTCAATGAAAAAAAGTTCGACTGTATTTCTTGTTTGTACATGTATGTTCACCATACATCTGTACCGCACCATAAAGTTCATAATTACATTTTAGAACATAATTTACATGTACATTTACATTTTGCTACATATAGCATGTCCTGTCTTAAAACATAGGACATGTTCGTGTAATCGGACCAGCCGGTTATTAGGACCAAAAGGATCGCTTCCCGATGTAATCCGATTAACCGGAATCGACTGTATTACCATAATTTCTTTTCATGCTTTTGTTTTTATTTTTCCATGTTTTTCTCATTTTATTTGAATATTTGCTTCATATCCAAATCTTTTAAGATGAGTCATGTTAATCCTACATCCTCTGTATATTTCATAAGATGTTAATTTTTTGTTCTTTATATGATGCCTATTATTCATATGAACAACTCTTTCAACACTTTAGTCCAAAATTTTGTTGGTAGCTAACATAGTTCTGTCATCTTGTTAGTATAACTAAAGCATTCAGCTTTTCTTTTGTTCTCCAGAGTGCAAGCCATTGCACATTCATGTTTAGTTTCTGTCCCCCCCAAAAAAGTTGTATGTTATCTAAAAATTTACTACTATTATCGCTGCAAATTCTTCTTAGTTTATTTTTTTCCTTTCTTCTTGAATGATTAGCTGTATTAAGGATTCTAGGATTTCACTCTTTCTAGAATTGAAATTACAAACATGAAGTTAATCTACTTGCTTTAATAATCATACTGTTAGAAAATAACTTCCATCAGCTTTTGTCTATCCAACTAAATATGTATATTATGATTCTAAAATAACATTTGATTCAAAAGTAACATCGGATTTCACTTTTATAAAAATTCTTTGTCATTTTTCCTAATGTACTAGCTTTACAATAGTTTTCGGAAGTTTTTATGTTTTCTAATTCAACCACTGATGACTTTTTCTTCGTATCTAGTAATCTTTGATGGTTTAGATGGCCTAGTTTTTAATGTCATAAACATTACTAATTTTAGCTTTTTTGTTTGCATTTTCTTCAACTTCAAATTTATTTCCACTTCTATTAGCCTTACATGAAATGTCTCCATTATCGATCCCTTATTTTTAGAAAAAATTGCTTTTAAATTATGATCAACTGTTTTGAAACTGATAGTAAATTTTAGCTTAAACTCAATCTCGCAGAAAATGTTCTACTCTTAAAATGCTTTTATTTATATCATTTCCCTTTTAATATTACCTACACAAACTGACTTGATGATAGCTTCTTTTAAGCTGTCATTTTTCATCTCTTAACTGATAAATATTTTTTGCTATGTGGTCTGCTATTTAATTTTCAAACTTTTCAATATTATATTTCATTCTCTGCATCATTTTTATTTTGACTGAAAGATGAAGTTTTTTTTTTTTTTTTTCTTAGATAATAATAAATATATGACTGATTCATATCCTTTTTTCTTGCTTCCTGTTCTAGCAAGAAAACATTTTATGTTATTACAGTGTTCTCTTAATAAACTTCTGGTTTTCTACAGCCAAATATCTTTCATGTCTAGTTTTCTTTTGCTTTAGAAACAGCTTCTGTTTCTTGTTCCCACCCCATTCATAACTTATGAAAATAGGTCCATCAGAGTAAAACAGCATAATCAGAACCTTAAATGAAGTTGAGTGGAGAAAAGTAGAATTTAATCTGTGTACTTCTTTTTGATCCATGGGCTGAAAAATTCTAATTCATAAATTAATCACTCATGAAAATTGATTGCTTCATCACATTTTAGCACCTAAAAATTATTTAGATGAGTTAATTTTGGAACAGTATGCTAAAATCTGTTGCTGCTACACTGTATATTTATTTGCTGTAAATTAAATTTTATAATTATTTGCCTCCTTGGTTTCAGTATTTTTCAGAATCGTCCTGTCAATGTATTTGTGAGTGTACAATATAACAGTAGTCAACTCTACTATTTGCATATCACATATATGATTGAGCACATGTTGAGTTACACACTTTATATTTAACTGAACATTATCCACTGGCATGAAAAATTCTAATATTGGCAATATAGATTATTGTTTTTTTAAATTACTTGCTTTTCATGCTTAATAAAATGCTTAGAAATTTTTTTGGGGTATTTATGAGCAAAACAGTTATTTATGAGCTGTAAAGATAGCAAAACAATTTTTTATTAATTTAGAAAATCACCAATGATATGGCGACTTTTTATTGAAATACAGATAACCAAAAAATATTCAAAATAACGCTGTGATGTCTAAAGAATACATTTAGAACCAAATCATAAAGAGTGTTCAGTTAAAATCTTTGAGAAAACATCCAAATCATAATGCTTTAATCGGTTCCCTTTGGGCACTTCAAAGTAATTTTTTCTCTTTCTGGCTTCACTTATAATCATAGTAATTACTGCTGTGAAAAGATGGTTGAGTGTTCTAATTCACTAAAATCTCATAATCCTGTGTGTGTGATGATGACGACAAAGCATGCTACGACTGTAAATGAGGAAGGGTCTTTACAACTTTGAAGGGCCAGTTTTAAAGTTTGGTTTTGGAATTAGTACATCATTGCAAAATGAACTACATTGAAAGGATTAGAGAACAGATTTGTTTATTGTTATATATATAATAGATCTATTATTATATATATATATATAATAATATAAAGTAGCAAGACAGCATGAATTAGATGCATTTTTTAGCATTAGTTTTTTAAAAATTCTCTTATGAAAAAATATTGGCAATATATATATATATATATATAATAGTCTATTATATCTAGTATATAATAGATATACGTAAATATAGGATCTTATATATATATATACAGCTTAATATATAATAGATCTTTATCTCTGTGTGTGACGTGTTGCAATTAACTCTGATCGGCCAGAGTAAATCTCCTGGTATTTCATACCTGGATTTGTGTACTTTTGATATATTGCCTTAATTTCCTTGACATATTTTAATATGCACGTATATATACGTTCTTACAGATATCACAAAAATTTTCTCGGCCGTATATATTCGGCCTTGCCGCTTTGAGGGTTAAGGATCCTAAAAAAAAAAAAAATTAACTTTGATTAGCCTCATATATAAATGTTTCGCAGTGTTTAGGGTCTTCATTAACCATTTAAAATTAATTTTGTGGTTAAAATTGCAACAAGACCTTTGAAGATATTAGACTGTATATGGGCAAAGACCTGAACATCTAAACAAAACATGTATTGAAATATTATTTTATGTTTTTGATTCACCTTTTGCTGTAATACATGCAGTAGAGCTCTGAAGCATGCTTTTGACAAGATTTTAATTTGTTTGTACTGTTGGGGCATTACAGGTCTTGGCATATAGCAATCGTAAATTCTTAATTCTGCCTGTTTTAATTCCTGTATTTGTTTTACGGAATTTTCTGATCAAGATTATGAGCGTAACTTTCTGCATTTTCCTCTTAAATTTTAAGGAAATCTTTGTTTGTATTTAACATTGAAAACTTAATTTGCAAATTTTATTTTAATTAGGTGTGGATTACGAGGTGGTTACTGTGAGCTTGTGAATATTGATCCCGAAGTGAAGAAAATGCTACTGAAATGTGTGTCTGCACGTCTCTGCAGCAGTGTTTTAGGACAGGTGAATGAGTAGATACTTTTATTGAAGAGTAAATATTCTACTCTTATTTAAAGAGATTTTCAATTTTATATTACATTTCAGGCTGCAATGGATTGTGTTGTGAATCCACCTCAGAAAGGTGAACCCTCATATGAGCTCTATAGGAAGGTTAGTTTTAAACTAAACAGTTGTTTAATGACTTTTGAAAATTCAAATTTTTAAGAAGAAATGTTTAATTTTGAGTGAGTGCTAGACTATTTTATTAAAAAATTATTTCCTTTATAAATTATATCTGATCAGTATATTATGATTATATAAATTTGAATTATGTTTCAAAAACATATAAAGCTCTTTGCTGTAATTCATGTAATTTCATTTAATTATACTGGATAATTATGAATTATTCAAATCATTTTTGTGACTATCAGAAGTGAACTAACTACTTGTATATCATATTATGTAAACACAAGCAGTTTTAGACCGTTATTAATAAAATAATAATAAGCCAAGTATCTTGTTTGTGTGGCTTACATTATCCCAGTCGATTTTCAAACTCTTGTGATGTATTCCTAAGCATTTTGGTTATTAGACATTCAAATTTGATAATGTCATGGAATTTAGTTGTGAAGATATTGTCAAACTCTTGGTTAAATCCAGAAATGTTATAACAGGCGATCACGCTGAAGACAAACTGACTTGCATAACATTCCTAGATTAACTTTTAAGTGGTGGATTTATAAAAGATCATGTTTAATCAGTGAATTATATTGGTTATTGAATTTAAGCAATGCATTTTAGAATTCATAGCAAAATGTTGTAAAATGAATCACAAAATGTTGAATATTGACTGGTAAATATTGTGTATACCGCTAAACGAATCTGTGTTGACTTGATTTAAAATTTAACACTCGCATTGAAAAGATGTATAATTTGATGTATTATTTATTTTTAGTCATTATTTATTTTTCAGTGATGAATAAATTATATGCTATTCGTCACTGAAAGATACTCAATAATTTGTGGCCAACCCTGTGTAATTTAAGTTGTAAGTGCAGAGTGAGTAGTAGCCACTTCAAATGAAAGAAAATATGTTAGAGTTTTGCCCTATAAATGCTGTATATGATTTCCAATAGTGTGAGGAATATCAAGATCATATTTAAAATGATCCTATAATTTGTTTTAGCTTTTTTGTGGGGAGGCCACTGACACAACAGTAAAACAGTTTTGAGCTCTGTGACAATCATCTAAGAATACAAAGTTATTGGGTCCACATTTCAGATGGGATGTTAGTGGACTGGCCAGTGGGCTAAAGAAAAAAGCTTTAAGATTTTAAATCTTTAATGTTGGCTAAATTAGTTTTAAATAAAGCTCTTTCTCCATTTAGATTGGTTTGTTAGATTGATTATTATGATAATGCATGGTGATGCTATCTGTTTATAAATCTTTTTCATTAGTATTTATACTATCAAATTTTAGATAATTTCCAATATCCACTAATTTTTATAAAAATCTGCTGAATTTTTTTTAAATTATATTTTAATAGAAAAGTTTTTTATTGGCTGTTTTAGAATTTTATCAATAGATGCAGCTGCAGTATCACTGGTTGAAAAATGAAAACCTACTGGAAATTTTTGTTAATCTTCTGCTTCATATAAAGATACTTTTTTCTGACACTAGCTGTGCTTGGTATCCAAGACCTCTGCAGTGCTTCTACATGTAAATGCTACTATTATTCATTGTTAATTGATTCTATATTTCCAAAAGAAAAGTGTAAAAGTATGTGTGATTGTATGAGCGTACGGACAAAAGTAAATTAAGAGCTAAAGGTCATTAAATTAAAAGGTTTCTTTGAAGATTTGTTCATACCTATAGAATTGTTATATATGAGGCGCTAATAAGTGATTTTATGAAGTAGACCATTTGTAGAAACTTTTTATCCATTTTTTTTAATGACAATCTCCTGGTATCCTACCTTTCTTTATTATGGTATATCTATTATTATCATATATTTCCTTTGACGTTAGCATCGTATGAACAAAAATCCTATACCAGTTGTCTGTTCCAGTGATATTTATGAAAAATATCAAATAGTTTGTTTTATTAAAACTGAGACGAGTTGGAAAGATGGCCTTGCTTTTGTTGTGATGAACATTTATTAACCCCTTCGCGCTGACTGTCACGTATACGTGCCAGCAACGAACGCACTTACCTACTGGCCGACATGCAGGCGTGCCAGAGGATTGTTCTATTCTCTACCGACTGTCACGTGTTTGTGCCAGTAATTTGGAATGTTTTTCAAACTAATTTCTGCCACAAGATGGCACTGTATATCAATATGGTTTCAGATACATGTAAATTAGACCTTCTACTCGAAATGAGAGAATCATGACTCACATACACGCGTTTTTGATTATATAAACAAACGGGGAAATAAATGTTTCCGAATGGCGTGATTTATGATGTCTCTTTAAATCGCGCTTTATTCGCACGTGGTAATTGTTTACTGTAAGTAGAAAGTTTTATTTGCCTAAAGCGTTGGGTATTTGGGTTTGCAGTTAGTTTTTAGAAAATAATTAGATCTTGTTAGACGTGAATTCTTTGTTTTTACCGTTGCGATGTTGAAGCGTTGAAAAATGTTTAACAGAGCATGAATAGCAAAATGATGCAAAATATTTCAGATATTGATTGAAATTCGATATTCTGATATTGATTCTGTAAGATTAACTGAAAGACATTTTCCAAAACTTTGTTCAGACTGATAAAATGAGACGACGATGCTTCGTTTATTCACGTTCCCGGAAAATCCTCCAAATGGCAAATGAGTTATTAGAGTGCAAGGAATGTAACATAGGACTGTGTGTAGATCCCTGTTTTCAAATTTTCATACGAAAAGAGAATTTTAAGTAATATATTAGTTTCAGATGTATAATGTTAAAGTCATAAAATGGTGAGAGTAATTAAAATAAATGTGTAAAATATGCATTTCATTAAGGTTTAAAAGATATAATAAATATTTATAAGCCGTTTAAATACTCTATAGGCATTAAAAAAAGCGTTGATACTTCAGAATTCATGGATTAGGCTTAGTAGCAAAAAGCCCCCGGCCCTGGGGAGACGCTCGCATAAGACACTGCCGGCCTCAGCGATAAGCGCGCGTTTTTGCTACCCGGCTCGAAGGGGTTAAACAAATATATTCAAGCTGCATGAGATTTACAGTAAATATTTTATTTTTTAGTTGAACTGGTATGCTATAAAATGGATTTATGTGTAGTAATAGTTTAAGATCATTGATATTTTAATGTGTGTTGTCCGCCATTGGCAGAAAATTGCAAATTTAATCCAAAGTTCAAAATAGGTACCGAAATTGAATCTTGATTAGCGATTTGTTTCATTAATGGAGCAGCCGACATTGGAGCTCTTAGGGGTTCTGTTACTACTAATGCCACAGGATGACCCTGTAAGTGAACCAAACCTCAACAGTACTGATATAAGGCAATATGATGATGTCTCTAGTAAATGGATGTAAACAGGAAAGCTACTGAATGACTTTTTGATTGCCTCTGCAAGCATTTCTTGCTTGTGTAACATCCACACTTCTAGTGATTTGCTTTTCTTGTTACAGTTATTGCGGAGAAGTTTCTGAAAATTCAAGCAAATATTAAAACTGGCAGATTTTGACATAATTTGTATTGAACATGACCCTTTAAAGTAATGTAGAAAGCAGAATATTTAGAGCTTCATATCTTTTATAATTTGATCACTTCAGTAATCAATTTAGCCTGAAATTGTAATAGTTATACATATTTAGAGAACTGATACAATTTTGAAATTGATCAGTGAATGAGGAAAGATTAAAGCCAGGAAACTAAAAGTTATTGAATCAGTTTACATCCCAGTTATTAGTCTTTGATGTAATATTTATGCATATAATCATTATAGTGTTTTTCAAATTATGAATAATAAAATGTGATAATGTAGTATTGTAACAAAATAATGCATATGTAATAATGTGCCTTTCAATATTAAATAAAACTCAGCCTCAGGTTGTTTTAATTTTAGGTAAAATATTGTGTAATTTGTCAGTTTGCCTTATGTAGATTATTCAAAATGTGTGTAGAGCCTTTTATTTAAAATTAGTGCAAATTGTTGAACTTTATCTGATTTTAAAGGTTGATTGATACTGTTTCATTTGCTCTTTCATGCGAGTACAAGATAATTAAATTTGTAGTTTTTGTATTGTGAATTTTCCCTTTTTAGGAGAAGACTGCAGTATTGGAATCTCTTAAAGAAAGAGCAGCTTTAGTGGCCAAAACATTTAATAGTATGAAAGGTATAAAATGTAATGAAGTGGCTGGAGCCATGTATGCTTTCCCTCGAATCACCCTTCCTAAAAAAGCAATTGAAAAGGCAAACGTAAGTTTAGAATTTTTTTTTTTTCCCTTCTTAATGCATCAATTTAGCATACAGAAAACACTTTTCAGAACTGAGTTTTATGTGTATAATTTCATTAAAAGGATTTGTTTATAAAATTCAGGTAAGCTATTTCTTCCTTATCTAAATTAAGAATTTGATAAATTTTCAGAAGACATCCTGAGGAGTGAAAGGTTTTTTACAAGAATAATTTATGTGGAAGTAGTGCGGGGTATTATAAAAACTTCTGCTATAAATTCTAAAACAGTAATCTAATTTTGTTCATTGTTTAATCAGCTTCTTAAAGCAAGTATTTTAATGCAATGTCCTGCACTGCATGGGATTTGGAGAAAGAGTTCATCATAAGATCTCTAGCATCCACGTTCTGGTCTGTGGCCAAGTTTTTAAATACTCTTTAAATGCTAACTCCATTTAGTCACATCCCTGTTAAATCTTCAGTTATGTTCTTTATGTGGATTTTTGTTGCTTTGAGCTGCTAAAAAGTTATGAGAAGGTGTTAATTTATGGCATTAGAATAATGTTTTACAAATATCTCAATATCACAACCAAAATTTTGTAGCACATGTATATGTAATTGCTGGAGGGAAAGAACAAAAAAGGGGTGATTCTAGAAGACCACAATCTAAAAACAAAATAATGTACATAGCAGTTTGAAATTAAGTCATGGTCACTATCGTACTCTTTAATGCAGTAAAGGTATATAGACAGCTTTATATTTGCTGGCTTTCAGTATAGTCTCCAGCATTATCTACGAACTTTTTCTACTGGTGAAGTAATTTTATAATGCAATCAGCAGTCAGAGATTTGTTGCTATCATGCATGGAGCAAGGGGGTGCATGCATTATGCTTGGAAGCATGTTCCCATTCTCATCTTGTGAACAGTTTGCAAACAATACTAACTGCATGAGAATGGGCATTTTCATGGAGGCCAACTGTTAGAGTAGTCAGGAAGTGATCATTTGTTATTTCACAAGACATGTATGCTGTATTTAGTTTACCGATTGTGATCCAAAAGACCACACTTTTCCAGTACTTCATAACAGTAAGCATAATTTATCTACAGCAATGGTTCTCAACTTGGGGGGGGGGATTCAGTCAGCCTCTTATTTACCTCTAAGTATTTAGTTTTAGTTTGTGAATATAAAAAATTACTTTTATTCAAGTTTTGTTATTTATCAATATTTTATATACCTTTTCTCATTTAATTTATAAAACACATTATTAATAATCTAAACTTTAATAAATGTGTTACGCATTAGTACATAGATAAATGATTTTAGTGCTATTATTTGTGAAATTTTATTTTTCTGTGTAATGTAATGCGAAACGAGACAAGCTATGCTCGAAAAGTAAGAATACAGGGTTAAGTCCATTTAGCATTATGAGTAAATGGGTATCTCGGTAATGTGGCGAGATATCACCATGCTGGTGATTAATTTTATTCACGAAATTTGGCGAGAAATTGCCCAAAGTCGCCAAATTTGGCAACCATATGGCGATATTTTGGTCTGATCTCTTTATCGCCATAATAGGTATTGTAATTGATCACTATATTAGCTGTAACCAAAATTCAGCCCTCATATTGCCTTCCATTAATTTAAAAAAGAAAGTGCTAGAAATATCTCGCTGGGTGAAAACTATATAAAGCTGGAGAGAGCATCTGTTCTCAGTTGTACTTGTTGCTGTTAACTGTTGTAGCTTGTTAGTGTTTAACACAACACTTTGCTTTGCATTGTGTTGTGTTGAACATTCACAGTAGTTTGTAAGTGTAACTATTGATTGTACTCTGTGATACTTCCAGATCTCAAGTGTTTCTTTTGATAAAATAAATTTCATCAAGCTATCATCAGATTTGTGTGCATTCAGTCTATAACAAACCCATATGCACACAACAAATGTATATGTATTTTTCAAGTTTTGAGAAGGGGGTGATCACCTGGTAGTGGTGGCCCTTTCTTATTACACTTCATTTGAATTGCACATGACCAAGTCCACCCTGCTTCAAAAGTAAGGATGTACTCACAACCTTCCTAATCATACTATTCCAAATAGATTGCAATAATTTAGATATTTACATCAGCAACTGAGGAATCTGCATATCATATTTGTACCTTTAATTCCTTCCTTGGAAAGATCTGCAGCCACGTCAGAATAGTCTTTCAGTGACAAGTTTGTATAACCACGCCTTTTTATGTGTTAAGAGTAGTCATATGACTGAGACAGGTTTCACAGGTTAACGCATGAGCAATTCATTAGGATTATCAGGTGACAAGTCTTATGCAGCTATTTCTTTTCTGTCTGAAGTAACAAGTTATTCAGGTGATCACTCATGTTTTCAGATCCCCCTTGAATGCAATCTTCTTCATTTTTAATATACTGTATAGGAATGCTTTAGCTCTACAGGCCCTGGTAGTGTAGCATCTTACAATTTTAAAGCCAAGAATGCTACTCAAACTTTAAAAATAAGTTTTTGCACTGAATTTTTACATTTTAACATTAACGTATATGTGCAGCAAGTGATAGAACAATGACCATTACACTATAGGGATAGTAAAGTTCTATTTTATAAATGCCAAAAATGTTAAGGTTGTGTACATCATTTCCCCTGAATCACTATTAAACTTCCAACAATTGTAATGTTATCAATTAACTTTATGTAATAAATTTTTTCTCCACTTACCAAAAATTGCCTGCTGACCTACATCAGTGCATTATGCATAGAAAATAACTCCCACCAACCTATGAACATTGGTAAGGGAGGTGTTGCATCACTTAGGTAAGTAAATTACCTCAGTTAATACTTTGTTTGATAAAGAGTAGCAACGCCTCAGTTTATTGCGAGACTATGATTACAACAGTAGCTTAAAGACTTTAAAAATAGAAATGAGTTTGTAATGAAGCAGTTTGTTGCAAAAAATTCAAATAAAATGTTTATGCCTTTAAAGAAACTTGTTTTCTATCAGTTTCAAGTGAGCTCTCATTTACCTGATTTAATGAGTATCTTTAGTCTAAGGTAACCGACAGGAGGTGATGTTTCCAGTCGAAAAATTGAGTTTCCTGTGAATAAGCATGAATTAGGGTCCCAACACATTTTTGCTATTTCTGGAATGTCTGTCTATCTGTGCATACGTGTGTGATGATTTTTTCGTACGCAGTAATGCTTTTATGAAACTTCTAAAATTACCTGTATTTAAGCTTTCTACATTTATCTAAAGATTTGATTAGATTTGGGGTAAAACTGGACAACCGAAGATGGTGCTTTACTTAAAGCCTATAAAAGTATGGTTAGTTTCCGCCCAAAGACAGCTCCACGAAAGGGAAAGAAGGACATTCACTATTTTTACCTCTATAGGTAAGGGAGATAATATGGAGGTTTAATGGAAGTTTCTTGCCACTGCAAATATTGTCTGCACAAACAGTTTGCATTAGCATGTTTAATCAAATTTTGTTAAACTATTTTTTGGCATCTAAGAGAGAGACTTGCTATAGAACATTATGTTATGAAATTTGTATAAAGATATCGTTATCATTAAATACAAGGTATCTGAAATGTAACAATCGGGCTACCAGATTAGAACCATCATTTACGCCCAGTTTCTGTTGCAGAAAGAACAGCTACAGAATGTCACCAAATTGTGTATAGCTTTAAACACTAATGTTGTATCATATGACACTATGAAGATTTGGTACCAAAAGTTAAAAAACAATAGCTATAACATTCAAGAAGCAGAGTGCTCTGGCCGGCCCATTGATGTTGATGAGGCCCACCTGAAAGAACTTGTGGAAGAAGACCAGAATGCAATCAGCTTTTCAAATTTGACTCGAGAGCTTGCTAAGGAGTTGGACGTTAGTGTCATGTCCATTAGTCTCTCTATGCATTGCATAAATTTGACGTACAGGTTCAGTCACTGGATGCCGCGTGCGCTGACTCCAACAGAAAAGGACAGATGTGTTCGGCCCGGCACTAATCTGCTTGAATGTCAATGCAAGGACAAAATTCTGGACTGGATCGTCACTTGTGATGAAAAGTGGATTTACTTCAATGACACAGGCGGAAAGGGAGTTTGGTCTGCGCCTGGTGAGCCCGTCGGCAGCGTTGCAAAGTACAATTTGATTAACAAAAAGATCATGCTTTGTATCTGGTGAGATTGCTCTGGTATTATCCACATTAGGTAATGCAGTAATAATTCAGTAATGCATGTGCATTTTCCTTTTAATCATGTTTGAAGATGTATACAGATCTGATATGTAGCTATTTGATAGATAGGTGAATGTATTAAATTTTTGCTCTAATATTAATATAATAATAATGCTCTAATATAATAATTCTTTATATTTTCTAAGAACTTTAATCAGCTTATGAGCAGAATTTACGCTATTTCAAAAGCATTATTGAAAGATGTGTGGTTCAAGATTGTTCACAATATCTGTTGTTGAACTGTTGAAGCCAGTATCATATGTAAAACAAATTTAAGCTCTGGAAAACAGATTGTGCTTGTATTTTAAACTTGTTTCTGTTACCAACTAGTAAGATAAGAAATTGTAACTTTTATGAAATAAAATTCTCTTTCTCACTATGTAGAGAAAGAGCATGTGTGTGCATGGATTTTCCCTGTTTGGAAAGATCTTCATTTGCTAAATCAAGTTAATCTGTACAATATCATTAACTATCTGATAATTTTGTTTTGAAATTTTGTGTATGAGAAATTTAAAAGAAATCGGAAACGGCCCCAGATATCTATTTGGCGTAAATATTTTTAATTCTTTGGTAAGGTAAATTATTTTAAAATTCATTTCCATCAAAATAGGAATTGAAATCAAGGAAAGGAAATGGTTAATTCCATTTTTAATGACTGTCATGTAAGAGTGTGTGACTTTTCACCTTTCATCTACTACCACCAAAAGAAAATTTAAATGCCTCCATTTAGCCATGCCAATTACACTACCATGCAAAAAAAAAAAAAAAAAAAAAAAAAAATCTCCATAATGAATTCCAATTAAACATCACTTTTAACATCATTTTCATTTTTACCATTGGCAGGCACTTGCCTATAATGGCATTGGCCACTATTAACCTTTTCGCGACGGCGCACCTTTGTTTAAAACACTCGTGCGGGGCGGAAGAGAATCGAAGGCAGTCACCGTACAGGACGGAGGTTTTGCATCGTTAAGCCTAATTTTATAACAAAAATCAGAAAAACAAAAGTTTCGCTTCTAGCATCGTAATTTTTGGTACATTTTAGTTATTACTTGAGCTCTTATATATGTTAAAATTAACCTTAAAACATTTATTTCTTTATTTTACTGGAATATCTTAAAAAATGCTTATCTTCCATAATACTTTTCGGAAGAGCTATTCAAATTATTCTAAAGTTTTAATTGATAAAATCCTCAATAAAGTTTAAATTTTAAAAAAAACAATAAAGACTATTTAAGTAAGAAGTAACAAATTTAAAATGAAACGAGCATGGTAATTAAGCCAGAGAAGTTCACCTTAACTCTAGAAAAAGTATCACTTTTTAACTCCTTAAATAATCAGTACTCTCATTGCGTTATAAATGTTCCACTAACCATACTAGGGTATCTTCCTCTGATAAAAGCGCCTCCTTCCCGTCATAATAGACTGAGGTGAAGCTTTCCTAAATAAAAAAAGAAGACGAAACTATATTGAAGGCAATGCAAAACGTAAAAAAACTCCGCACAGTAACCCTAAAAGACCGTACAAGTAGAGGAAAAAATAGAATAAAAGGAATTGGATATAATCATACAGAATGTGTTTCATTAGCACGCAGCGATTTAAGAGCGAGCTCGGTTGTTACATTACGATTTCCCCCCCTCCCAGCCACAGCTGACAAGCAAATACCAAAAACAGCCAGATATAACCTCTGAAGGTCAGAATACTAAACTACGTTCAGTTTAAATAAATGGACACAGAGTTGCCATCTAGTGCTATTAAAAATTGTTTCAGCTTAAAATGCATACTGCACTGCCCGTTCACTGCAGTTCTCCAGGAGTGCACGGGTGAACCGCCCGGGCCTCACATGCGTTCGTACGAAATGCATATATGATTCGCCCGTCGCGAAGAGGTTAAGTGGCCGGAAGTGGTGACCATTTTATTGTGGAGGCGCCTAATAGGCGCCCACCACTATCTCCTATGAAGGGACAGACAATTTTACATCCATGCCTTCTTCGGGATTCGAATCTGGGCGCTTTGGTATCACAGTCAGGCTTCTCTAACCACTATACTGTCTGTGTGACACTTTTAACATCTAAAGTGGGCTTGGTAGACCAAAATCGATAAAATTATTGATTTTCCAATGTTTTGCTAAAACTATTATTCCCTTAGTATTATTATTCCCTTAGTATACTGAGAAGAAATTTTCAAACAATCTCACAATGATAAGTAATGTAAAAATGCTTTTAAAAATTGTGACAACCCTTCAGATTCCACACCCTCAAGTGTTTATATCCTTTTACTTCTTAATGTCAGTTGTTTATTAAAATTCAGTGCAAAAGCAGAGAAACATAGTTAGATGCGACTATTTATTCTCCTAACAAAACAGCAGTCTCTGTTTATATGTAAAACTGAATGCAGATTTTTTTTCCTTTTCATTTTCATGCAGAAAATATTTCTGTGCATATTGCAAGTCAATTTTGTTTGTTTCTTCAGAAATAGAAGTTTGTGACAGACATAAACAGTAAGAGTTGCCTTAATGAAAGTGATCAAGTTCCAGACCATAGATAGCATTACTAAAAATAGTTCTGGAAGAAACATTAAACTCTTTAACTAATTAAAAAACTTCTGAATCAATTACAAATTTAATTTATGCACGAGAATAAATGGCTAAAAGAAGAGAAGTCATGTATGCTGCTAGGCAGTTTTAAATAAATAGTTTTATGTCTGTTCAAACTGTCAAATTTGGCTTTTTGAAAAAATGATTAAAATGACAAATTATTATTTTTAATATTATAAATGTTTCAGAAAATGTAGTTAATTCCTATATTAAAATTTTTTGTTTGAACTTGTTTTACAAAACAAAAACAGGTAACGAAAAATTCTGCTTGCATTTAATGATTTTTCTTACAATATTTCAGATCAGATACAGTTTCAAATAAATACTGATGTTTGTTTGTATTCACCAACTGAATACTAATAGGTTTTATTTTAGGTATATGTGTATTGAAATTCTGTAAGAAAAATATTGCTGTGGGCATATGGGTTTGTAGTCAATTGAATATCCGCAGGTCCAGGTTGATAAAATTTATTTTATCAATCTACCATCAACATTTCAGAAGTTCTGGAACTTTCTGCAGAAATACTTGTATAAGTCTTCACAGTATTACAAAGTACAGTCAGTAGTTACACTACTAAGAACATTAAACACAATGCAATGCAAAGCACGTCTAAAGAGGAAGCTAACCAGGAGATACCTCAATACTTCTCGAAATTACTGAATGACATACGAGACTGTGTACAGTTACAGTTGCATCTGAAGTAAATTACAATTATTCAATTACAGTACCTATAAAGGTGATACAAGGACTGGACCAAAATGTCGCCAAGTTTGCCGTTATCTCGCCAAATTAGCAAAATAGCCATTTACTCAGTGTTAAATAGACCTGCCCCAATATTCTTATTTTTCTGGCAGAGCATCCTCTGTCTAGATTCTCATGTTATATTATACATGTACAAAATTAGTAACAGTATATAAGAAATTTGAAATGATTTAATGATAATTTAGACAGTTTACATTTTTTAAATTGCATTGCCTCAGTTCGCTTTGTTTTTGATAAATAATTTTTACTTAAAGTCCTAAACTTACACAGATGTAGGCTAAACTATTAATATTTTTACTGCTTGTTCTGTTATTATATACTTAATAGAAACAAGGATGAATTTTGCAAAATGTTGAGAAGGTAAATTAATGAAAGTGAAAATGTTATTGACATCAGATTCTTTCAAACGTTTTACAAATAATTTCTCAGAAACTGATACATAAACTTCAGAATCCGTTTTTAAAGTTATTAAGGACATTCTAATAAATACAAAAAAAAAAATTGAGTAACATCATTGGAAATTGTAGGAAAGAAAGATATTTTAACTTTTGAAGGTTTCTTCAATGAATTTTAATTAACCAACAAACAATTTACCAACAATTTTTCTTTTCAGCTTCAGATCATATTATGTTACAAAATCATTTAATAATATTCATAAAAAATAGGCAAAAGTTCTTAAATAGAAGAAATCATTCAAAGGGTACCAAGTATATACTAAGTTTTCTGTCAGTAGGCATCAGTGCAGTATAGGCACTTAAAATGTTAGTGAACTGAAAATTCTTTAGAGTGCATTTGATGGTACAGAAAGGATTTCTTCCACTCCTTTTGAAAAAAAAAGGGGGGGAATCTATTCTCAGAATGTGCTAACTGTTCAGTTAGTGTGGTGAGGCTATGCCAGTGAGACAATTTGGTGAAGTTCTTATGTCCCCACTCATTTTTTCCTATCATATCAATAAGCCTCAATTAGACATTTTGTAACTAGAAACTGTAGTGGTGAATTAACTTAGAATGTTGTTAATTGATATTGGCAAAGTATAAAAATGTTGTCTTTATTGGATGATTGTTTTGTTTTAATGTGTTTAGAAATATCACTGTTTTATTTTTTAAATAAATATAAATTTTGTAGCTTAAGTACAGTAATTAAAGACCTAAAATTTTCAGTGGACAATATTCTTATTATATCTGTTGATCTTTCTAGTCTCTGGGCCAGGCTCCTGACTTTTTTTATGCCATGCAGCTTCTTGAAAATACAGGTATCTGTGTTGTACCAGGAAGTGGTTTTGGACAAGTACCTGGAACACATCATTTCAGGTAATATCCTTATTCTTGTATTGTATACGATGTTTCTTAATACTCCTTATTACAGCTAATGGTTCATTATCTGCAACAAATGTTGCAGAAAAGAGTGCAGTGCACACTTTATAAATACTTGATATTGTCTTGGTAAGTCAATATTGAATTCAAATTCCTGCCTCACATATCCCAGCATGCCATGATTGATCTCAGTGATTGCATTATCCTTTCTCACAATTGTGCTAGATCATAGCAAAGGAGGCATGAAACATATATCTTTGTGCTCGCATGAGAAAACAATCGCATGAGGATATGTGAAGTATGTCAAGGGTATGGAAGAAACATATCCAATCTAATGACCAGGAAGTTCAGGATTGAACCTAAGCATGGAGCCATATCATGCTGAAAAATGGAAATCCTCCCTGTTTTCCTATAGTTGTGGCATTAGCCATCATTTCAAAATGTCTAGGTTGAAAAAAAAAAAAAAAAAAAAAAAAAAAAAGGCCCATAGTAGTTAAATATGTTAACTACATTGTAGAACAAATGTAAACTTGGGAAGGTTTTGTATGTACACAGAATTGGAAAAAAATGGGAGACTTCTATTTCTATCGTTCTACTCTGTCAATTGCCAAAATTCAGCTTCCCCCCCTCATGTCTCAAAAGCACGACTTAGGATGCATATTAGACTAGTATACAGCATTGTTCGAACATAGACACAAAATTGGTCTTTTCCTGAAATAATATGGCAATTTTTTCCTGTATTCTGTATTCTATGACCCAAATTATGCCTAGAAATTAAATTTTATAAAATTTGCTGAGAGACGTGGCGAGTAATTCATGACTATAGTTTGGCATAGTTTTTTCCCTTTCTGCCAAGAGAATTCACTTTCAGTTTATGTTAACCTTTCTGCTTTTCCTTTCCTTTTTAACGTAAGGGGAGGAGAAATCTTGTTTCTTTTTCGGAAATATTTTTATTTTATATTATATAGTTGTTTGTTATTTTTACATTTTTTTATTTGAGTTGCATGGTTAAATTTTAGTTCTTCAAATAGTCTTTTTATTTATTTATTCCATTATGTACTTTAAGCATGTTTATTCATATACAGGGTTCGTAGCGGTCCTTACAAGTGCTTATAAGTCCTTATATTTGAAAATTAAATATAAAGGTCCTTATGGTGCTTACTTTTTCTTTAAACCCTTATTTTTGTTTTTAGGCTTATTCTTGCTTAGTGCTTTTTTTTAAACTTTGTTTTTAATAACGTGCATTTTTCCCCGTACCAACTGAAATAGGTAAACAACTTTCTTCCTTAATGCAACGTCAGATGGTATCATACTCGAACTTGCTTTCCCCCCTTCCTCTGCGTACCTATTGCGGCGAGAGTACAGACAGGTGCATGTCGTTCTATTGGCCAAAGAATTGCGAAGACGTAGAAAATTCCGGTACATTCGGATTTTTTCCTCTCAACCAAATACTGCAACGTTGAATTCTATCAAGATTTAATAATTTGCATTCTCGTTCCACGTCGTCAGTTCATATTCATGTTTATTATGATCGTTATGCTTATATTATGCATATATGAATATTTATATAATATAGTTGCAGTACTGCTGAAGTTATAGATAAACTTCCAAAAATGGGTGTGTTTTTACACAGATTAGCTTTCTAAGAAATAATATTCGGAATGGCTTAAATAAAAGGAAAGTAATCGAATAATCAAAATAATTTCATTTTCTTTGCCAATACATTATACAGTACGGAGGTTGGGGGTTTCTCCGCAAAATCTCTAATATTGAAGCAGCGGACTTTTTTTTTTTTTTGTTACTGTCCAATCTGGATTGAATAGGGCTAAAAGTTTTTGCGGTCTACCCAACCCAAGCGAAGATTGAGTCTATTCCGGAAATTTAATACAGTCTGTTGAAAATTAGAATCAGAAACACCCCAGATTAGTAAGTCTTTCTTTTCCTTTATTTAGTTCTTTTTTTCTCCGAATACCATACCGGCAGGTGTTGATTCTGATTGCGTAATATCACCTATGGAAGAATTACGCCGCACGTATTGTGTAATAACGTTTGCGGTATTTTGCATTCATAATTAATTTTGATGTTCAGTCTGAGATTTGTTTATGAACACTTAAAAGAGTTTTGTTGTGCTTTCTAAGCAGAATATTTCTCAGTTCCGTTGGTTTTTTTATACGATGCACATATCGAAATGTCAAATCATTTTTAGCCTAAATTTAAATCTAAAGAACGGATACAATCTCCCCACTCCTCTTTTTCCAGTACTATCCGGAATATTCGGAATTTCCGAGTATGTGGGTTAGTTAAGCTTTTACGTTAAGGATGACTGCATGAAGCAATTTCCCATCTTCTGATTTCAGAAATGTGCCTTTTTTTTACTTAAATTACTTGTTGGGATATATGTTAAGGGAAAACTGTTATGCAATGAAATTTAGAAAATGTTCAGAATTTTGATTTAGTTAAATTATTAAATATTAATATGAGTGGAAAATAATTGTATTTATTATTAGTGCCAAATGATACAATTAATATAGCTTATTATTATTTATTTTCTCTATTTTTAACTGAAATATCATCATTAATTTTTGTAATATAGTTTAGTCTGCATGGTTTTTTTTTTTCTCTATTGTAAACTAATTCTGTAAATTGAACTGTCATTTAAAATTAAAAAAAAAAGTTAATTGTTTTCCATGTTGAGGGTAATGCTCATTCTCTTAAAATATTGCATTGCTCATATTTTAAATTACAAGTCTAATTTCTCTTTTAAGGTTATGCAGTTGCGTATAATGTAATTAGACAGGTACTTATTTTTTCCTTAAAATGTGCTTGAAAAGTGCTTATAGGTGCTTATTTTTTTAACTAAAATGTGGCTATGAACCCTGATATAGATGTTCTTTTTTATAAGTTTGATTTTATTGATTTGAAAGCATTTCTTTCGAAAGAATACTTTGCGATCATAATTCATCATGATGCTTTTGAAAACTGCATTTTGCATTAAAAGAGGAAAATGCCATAAAGCATGGATAACACGTCTTTAAATGGGACATTCGGAAAATATATACAAATGAAAAAGATGTGTAATCTGTAATATAATTTAGAATGATATGCATGCAAAAAATTTTCCAGTTTTATCACTGTGCTGTTGTTTTACAATTTTCTCGTCCTATACACAATTTGTTAAAATATTATCCATATTTCTGAATAAGTTCAAATTTTCAGTTTTTAAATTGCAAGAATCAAATAGACTAACATAATATTAAATTTTATGCAAAATAAATAAGTAAAAAATATTTTATCTCCTTAATTTAATGCCTTGAATTTTTCTTCTTAATGGCTTATGGCTTCAAGAAAATCGTAATGATTTTGAGGCATTTTACAGATGTATATCTGCAATCATTCTCCCTTTTCTATTTGCTAATACTTACTTTTGAAATACTCATAATATACTCACATTTGAAACAGTTTTTTTTTTTTTTTTTTTTTTTTTTTTTTTCTGTGACATTCTAATGCATAGAGATATTTCTTTTTCATTAGTATTTGGTAAAAGTAAAATAGTAAGGCAGTTTTGTCCATGATGCTTGGATTAGAAGCAAACTGTATTTTTAATAGTGGGTGAATCAAGTCAGTTGTATAGCTGTCTTTCTGTAAAGTGTGGTATTCAAACCAGTTTGAGTGTGGAGATCTGTTTTAAATTTGGGATATTTTAAGGTTGTTAAATGTAAAGTTTTGTTTAGATAAAAATAAATAAGTATTTAAAAGGGAGATTTTTGTGTGAAACAGAAACTACTTCTGGATAACAGTTCTCCTTTAGCATCTAAAGGCCTCCAAAGATAGTTCAAACATTAGTTACCCAAACAAAATGAGAAAAACATCTAAATTTCAGACCCTTTTAATGATGTCTTTTTTAATGTAGCATCAAAACTTCCCTTCCCTTGGGCCGATTCTGACTTTATTGATTGGAGTTTATTATATAAATAATACCGTTATATGATATACAACGAGAAAGTTTTTGAGAGGTAAGGGGGTCATAGGTTCTAACGGGAGAGGTTACAGGTACCTGTAAAATTACTCATTCAGAGTTGTGTGAAAGAGAAAAGACTGGGAACCACTGCTGAAGAGCAGTGTAATACTGGGTGCCCATAATTTAATCCCATATAAAAAAATTAAATTGAAAAGTAATTTTATGAAGTAACCAGAAATAATTTATATTGATATAATCTTTAGCCTAGGAATTTCATTTGTTCCAATTTTTGTAAATGGTTACTGACAAATTGGTGTTATGCAGTAAAAAAGCAACATGCTTTCTCTGGTTAAAAGGCATGAAATCTCCAAAAACAGTTCAGAGGTGGCTCTGGCATGAATTTAATAAACTTCCACCGATGGAACAATCAGTTGAATTGAATAAAGAAGGAAAAGGTAGGCCAAGCATCAGTGGTAAAAATATTTCTGCCATTTGAGATGTGTTTGTGTGCGTTCCCAACCAAACCAGCTTGCAAACAAGAATTCCTAGATTGACCATTCACAAAGTTGTTCATAAACAATTAAAACTGACTGTGTATAAATTGCAGATTTGAGAACAGATCAAACCTAATGATTGAGTCATTCATAAGGAATTTTCTGTAGACAGTCTTGACAGTATCAGTAATAATGATTAATTTCTTCAGAAAATCGTATTTGGTGATGAAGCAACATTTTATGTTTCATGAGAGGTTATTTGACATAACTGCAAGATTTGGTGGTCAGAAAACCTGCATTGTGTGAGAGAAATTAAGCAGGGTTACCATAAAGTTATCGCCTGGTGCCCGTTAACGCATAACAAAGTGATTTGTTTCTTCTTTTTCTCATTGCCATCAATTAATTCAAATATTTACTTCGATATGCTGAAATTGTTTGCTGTACTGCAATTTGAAGAAATGCAGCCAAACACTTTTTTTTTTAACAGGATGGGTCCCCCCGTCATTGGGCTTGACATGTGCTTGATTCCCTGAATAAAACATTCCCAGATTATTGGATTGGTAGAGCTGGACAAATTTTATGACCACCCTTTTCTCTTTTACGCCACTCGACTTCTTTGTGGGGATGCATGAAGAAGAGAGTTTATGCTGCAGATATTCACAGCATCGAAGAATTAAAAAATTGAGTTATCTGCGACTCGACAAATATTTAACGACATCTGGGAAGAAATCGAGAACAAACTTGATAGTGTCTGAGCAACTAACGGTGCTACTGTTGAAGTATATTAATATCAAAATTCACTCAGTCTTTTTTCCCTATCTCTTAATTCTGTATTTATTTAAAACATATTTTTATCTGATCAATAAATTATAGATACCTATGATTAATTATAGATACAAAAAATTATAGTGTAAATTATAGTTAAGTATCTGTGTTAAAAATTATAGTAGTTAAAAATTATAGTTAAATATCTGTGTTTTCTAATATAATCTTATCAGTTGTTAACCCTTTCAAATTAGATATTCTAAACTGGGCAAATATACTATTTTATATAGGACAACTATTCTACCTCAAACTGAAAAATTGAAGATCATGTTAAAACGATTGGAAGAATATCATGAAAAGTTTTTAGCTGAGTATAGTTAAGGTAAGTTTTAATGTTCATGTGCTTTTCATGAATTTTAAATATAATTATCATATAAATTTTTCAGCTTATTAAAAAAAATGGGGACTTTTTATAAAACATACTTAGTGTAAAATTTTAAAAACTGTATGTTCTTATTAAGATATCAGTTTGATATATGAAAATTAAATCTTGATTTTGAAATGACATGTATTTTCATTTGTGTGGATGAATAAATGATACCATTATAACTGTATTTAAGTTTTATATACATCAGCTTTTTTTGGCTATTATTTTGATAGTTAATTACAAGGTGATATGTATAAAAATTAGTATAATTATCAGTGTTCTTTTAATACCAAATTAGCACATAATGGTTTGAGACTTCACCTCCATTCCCTTCACTCTAAATATATAAGGGTTGTTCAAATGAAAGTAGCATTGCTGTAATAACTCTGGCATTTAAAGAGAAAGATAACTGCGCATGCACCTATAAAGGGCGCTGATTGCTGGGCTTGCACAAGATATCGTCAGATCCTGCCAGATGCATGTGTGATAGCGTCGGAGCACATTAAGAGGCATCATTTGCATCATGGATGCCTCCAAACGGTGTCAATGTGCGGTCTTGCAATTTTTTCGTTTTCAATAACCTCTCTGTCACTTTCTTCACTATCAAAAGCACGCATGGGTAAACTCATACACGCATGCATATCAAAAGCGCGCATTAAAAGTGCAAACGCTTTACGCGCATGCGTAAGTTTGTGCCTTTGAGGTCCGAATAATGGACGTCCGGATTACAGACTTTGTACTGTATATTTTTATAATTATCAAACTACTTGAACTAAGGAAAGCTGACTTTATTAAGTACTTCTATTTTGCTTTTTATTAACTTTGTATTTATAAAATTAGTATAATTAGCACAATGTGCTTTAATGCCAAATTAGCACACGATGGCTTGAGACTTCACCTCCACCCTAAATATATTTACCTAATTTGTCTCTAACCATACTATGTAGCTTTCTTCCTCTAATTTTCAACTGAAGTCAGTCTACATCTTTGCTTTATGTTGTAGTCACCCTTGATTGTTCCATGGCTATCATTTTTACTGTGTTTATTGTGTCCGTTCCTCTGTTTTTAATTTTATTTAATTTAGATTTTGGCTTTGTGCTTGCACATAAAGATTTTAAATTTTTTCTATTATTTTTCTTCATTAATTTCTGGCTTGTGTTGCAAAACTAATTTTATAATTAAATTTAAAACTGCAAATTTTAAAGCAATAATTTAGGCTAATTCTTATTTTATGATAATATTTTTTAAGGAATTTGTGACCAGAAGATTAGTAATTTGATATCTGGTGAGGCTGCAGCTGATTTTTCACATTTTCTGCACTAAAAAGCTTAAATTTGTAGAATTTCATGTACTTTGATGATAGTATGGGGCTCTTAACTTCATTGTTTTTGCATTACTGGAGCTTTATATATATTTTAAAGTCATTTACATGTTGTATTTTGACTTTAGTTATTTACATGCTTACTTGTCATATTTTTGTTTTATTTCTGTTTCACACATACATGCATACAAGTAAGAATCAATAAATAGGTTATGAAATGTTGTGGGGTAATAGGAAATAACCATGAGAACCATGAGTAGTTTCCTAAAGTGTAACTAGGTAACAGCATCATATTTCATTCTGACTCAGTGCCACTGAGATCCGCAAGACTCTTGAATACATCAGGCACTTAAAGCTTGATATTACTGTGGTGGAATGAAAATAAAGAGCTTGCATACAAAGTAACATGACAATACTGAGACTAGATAGGTTAGGACATTTTTTACTCTGATCATATTCAAAGCTGCAATAATAATTGCACAATGGTATGTAAAAATTAAGGACAAAGTTTAAAAATTAGCTTATCAGTGGAATGATGAGGCAAAGTGGACTGAAAGACTAAATCTGGAAATCGACTAGGGTCAGATATATTAGCACATGCACATATATAGAGGTAGATGTATTGGGGGAATGTCGGAAGGGTATAAAGTTTTCTGGACGTGTGAGCTCAGCATTTTGGAGAAGCTAATGCACAGCCACGGAGTATAATGAAGGAGGTGAAACTGTCTAGTAGAAAAACCGGTCCTAAAATGTCGCGTTCACTAGATGGTGCTGCTGTTCCATCTTAGCAGTTCCAAATGTAAACATTTATGGAGTAGCTAGACTGCTAAGCTGACTATCGGATGAAAAAAATTTTATGTTTTTAAAAGTGATGGATGCGTTATTATCCAACGTTATAATATTTCTGCTCTAATGATTGTATTTTATTCCTCAAATTAATAAATTAATTACAGCTTTCATGCTGTAAGGCTTTAGTACTTTTTAAAATGATTAATTTAATGATTATTTTTCAGTCCCCCCCCTTAGAAAATAATCATATACTAGGAATAATACTTGCTGTATATATGTTAAATTTTAATTAGAATAGGTTCTTCGAATCTCTTCATTCTGTAAAATGCTTAGATACACAGCTTGATATAAACTGTGGCGAAATTTTAATGAAGCTTATAGAATTTTTTGCTTCAGTCAGTAAATTTTCTTTTCTATCATATGAGTTATTCTTTTTTATGAATCAGATGTCAGTTTTGATTTTGATATTTTTATCGTTTTCTGTTAAAAATTTTCATATCTTTGTTATTTGAGAAGTATGTTTCAAATTGGTTTCACATGATTTAAATAGAATTCGTATTTGAATCAGTTAAGTATTCTGAACACTTGGTTATGCTGAACTGTATATTATTCATAATTAAAAGATAAAGAAAAATATTGAAAACTAATTCTATCTATCTTTAATTTTGTCCTGCTGGACTAACTTCTAACCAATAAATGCAGTATTTTAAAACAAAAATTATAATGCAGACTTTTTATTTTTAAAAGTACATGTGCTCTTTCCCCCCCCCCAAAAAATTCTTTCCCATTCAATAGCCTAAAATTTCTTATTTTAGAAAAATTTTATCACATTTATATGAAATATTTTCTCGCTGTTAAGTTTCAAATTGGTACATGTAGCTTTTTTGAAAAAATTGTTGTGCATGTGTTTTCTTTTAAAGGAAAAGATCCCCTATTTTTTATTTTCATTTATTGAACGGTTATTTGCTATAGAGTCTAATTACTTTGTTTGCAAAACTACCAGTTAATTCAGAATACCTAATTTGCTTGCTGCGGTATTTAAAAATATCAATATGTAAAACTAAAGTCTGTTTTCTCTTGCAATAATTATTTACTTTTTCATTCTCATTTAATCTCTTTTTAACGATTAAAGACTCGCAGTTCAATTCAATTAAATACAAAATTTAATAAAAATGTAACAGTAATTATATAAATAATCCTGAAACAATCTTAACAGTATCGTTTTATATTGTTACACACAGGGGTGAGCTATAGGAGTCTAGAGTGATTCGTTAAATTTGCATTCAATTTACAAGCACCTTCTTTCCTACCAGCAGTTGAGCAGCAAAAGTCATCAAACACTGCCAGTTTGGTCGAACCATGGGCATTTTCCTGGTTTTTCCAGGTAAAATATATATATACAAGCCTGTTTCCCTTAGAAATGAAGGTATCTTTTCCCTTAGGCAGATAGCCCGCAAGTTTGGTGTAATTACATTGAGCAAACCAAACCTTTTCTTTTTGTTTGTGGCTTAGAAAGTACTGCTGCTGAATGTACATGTCTATATAATTTTATAATAATTGAATCATGTCAAAAAAATTTAAAAAACCCATTTAATTTACTCTGTATTGATTGAACTGTTGGGAAGGAAATATTTTCAATTTTCAAGATTCATGTCAGCATGCTGAAAACAATAGAAATTTAAATAATGTGTCTTCAAGATCTTTAATTAACATATTATTGTAAGTAAAATGTGGAGTGTTTAGCCAGATGCAGTATTTGCCAGTAAAATATTGTCGCCAGATGAAATCCCTTATCTGTTTTTAGACGACTAATAATTCCAAGGACATAAATTTAATGTGACCTTATCAGATATTCACCCCTTTTCGAGGGGAGGAGGAAAAATTAATTATGTGCATAATAAAAATTCCGGTATCATGGTGCCAGCTTCATATAAAATCAAGGTTATCACTATGGAGCTAAGTCTGAAATACAAATTACATTTTAAATTAGAAGATTTATCATTTAGGTATCTCCAAAATCATGCTATCTACACAAAAATTTCTAACATTAGAACATAGAACTACTTATTTAAATAATCCATAATTCAATACAAAAATATATTTATATAAACTCTGTCTTCACATAAGCAACTTTTTATGCAAAATACATGTAAGTGCATGATATAAATATGGTACGTAAAATTTTCTAATTACAGTGTTGCAAATACACAGTACAGAATTGTAAATGAAGTATTTCTGTGATAAAGCAAAATGCAATTTTTGTACAGCCCTATATGTTAGGCACAATGTTGTTGAATCTCGAAATGATATTTAAGGGTGATCAAGCCTTCAATAAAAGACATGTAACAATAAATTTTAAACAATATTAAACATATTGCATAACTTGTAATAATGTTCTATGATAGTACAAAAAATGAGTGAAAGAAAAAAAAGTGTACTGTCTATTTCTACGATCATATTGATGTATAACTTGAGAAGTGGGAGAATCTTTTAGGAGCCAAACGAAGGCAATTGATGGTTGAGAAAAAAATCATTGTCAAGTGCGCAAATAACATAATTTACATCATTTACTTTAGAAGAAATAACACAAAAAGTTTTCGAAAACCTATGCTGGAATGTAACCTTAGATTTCACATATACTATATCAGTAACATTGAATGATCTTAATATGCTATTTTTCATTTGAAAGATTCAGTTCTACTATTTGCTTATTCCAATCTCGTAGGCCTGCTCATAACTTATTTTAGCTGTTTAAAATAACACAAATAATGTGATTTATCCAACTGAATGGCCTTAGACAGATTAAAAATGAAAAAGGTAACTATAAATTTCTTCCAAAATGGTC